CGTATCAAAACCGTTAGTTAACCGTATGGTTAACCGCATAATTAACCGTGCAGTTAAAACCTTAAATACATAATTATTCCACTACTAAATTTAATCCACTCCACTACTCATTTTTCATAAATCAAATCATAAATAGTTTACATAATTATTATTTATACTCAGTACTCGTTTCTTAATTTTCACAACTTCTTTTCTATAGTTTTATTGGAATAAGACAATAAGACAATAACTCAATCATTATAATTATGACCATTTATTTAGTTATTCATGGTTTACTTAACTAAACAACATAGCTAATTAACTATAAATATTATAAGCATATAATCACATATATTACATACTATAAAATAAATATTATTTGATATATCATCATTAAATTTTTTATTCTAAAGGTTAAAAAAAATCCAAGTTTTTGTCTTTGATATTAACCGTATCGTAATAACTAAATAACCGTAACCGTATTTAACCGTAACCGTTGTAACCGTAACCGTATTTAACCGTAACCGTTTTAACCGTATATATAACGGTTAAAGTTACGGTTAGAGAAAATTTATAACCGTAACCGAAGGTTAATAAACCGTAACCGCAATAACCGTAACCGTGGTCATGCCTACTGTTAAGGCCCAATACCTTTATAACTAGACTTGGGCAAAAAAAAAACAGATCCGATTTCCAAACTGATATCCGGACTGGAAAAGCCGGTTTGAGGCAGGTAAAGATAAGAATAAATTACTACATTAGATACAATTTTGGTAAATTTGTGGGTACCGGATCAGTTTGGGGATTATCCATTATCCAAACTGGATATATATATATATATATATACACATATAGATTTAGGTTTATAGTATTATACCTAGGTTATCTAGTTTTATACACACAAATGAGGTTGGCATTTGTTTATTTTATCTTTTCAGTAGACAAAGATGCAAAACAAAGTCATCACTTATCATTAATCAAGGCCCTGTTCGTTTGCTTGTCGCTGGCACTGAAACCAGCGACAGCGATTAGAAGTTGTTCGTTTGCTTGTCGCTGGTTTAGCGACCAATTGCAGCGACAGTCGCCAGCGACCAGCGACCTCAATTTTCAGTTGCTGAAATTTTCAGCAGTCAGTTGCTGGTTTCAGCGATCAGTCGCTGGTTTCGGTCGCTGAATCCAGCGACAGGCAAATGAACAACTTAGCGATAAAAAAATATAAATTAAAAAAAATAATAAAAAATAAATTAAATTAAATTAAACTAAATTAAATATAATCAAATAAACTTAATTAAATGAATTTATACAAAATTAAAATAAATTAAACTCAATTAAATTCAAATAAATCGAATTAAATATAATCTAAATTAAAATTAATTTTATTAAATTAAATTAAAGTATGAATAAATTAAAATAAATCTTATTAAACTAGATTCAAATGAATCAAAGTAATTATAGTCAAACTAAATTTGATAAAATTAAAGTAAAGAAATGTATTGATTTTTTTCTAATGGTGTATGATATATGCAATTTACTTTTTTATTTTAAAATATAAATTGTCATAGATAATAATTTCAGAATTTTAAACATATAGCGACTGTTTTGAGCGACAGTCAAACGAACAACACAACGACAGCTCTTAGCGACAGTCGCTAGTTTCTGTCGCTGAATCCAGCGACAAGCAAATGAACAATACATGCTGTCGCTGGTCGCTGATCGCTGTCGCTGGTCGCTGATCGCTGGTCGCTGATCGCTGTCGCTGGTCGCTGATCGCTGTCGCTGAATCCAGCGACAGGCAAACGAACAGGGCCCAACTCGTTCTAGTTCTATGTATTTCATATTCAGATTTTTGTTTGCGGTTTGCCAATTAGATACTCTTGTTTAAGAAGTTTAAGAACTTCTATTTGTCATTTTCTCTACTCTTAACTCTAAGTATTAATCTTTGTGATTTTGTCTTGGATTTTAATGTTAAGTTTGAAGTTCTATTCTCTTTTTTTGTGTGTTTTGTGCATGTACAATTGTTTAAAAGTTTGGGTATTCTTGTAATATTTCGGGTTTATGGGTAATTTTTACCCAATCAGACACGAACCGAAGGGAATCCAACTTTTTCGGATATTTATCGGTTTTCATAATTATTACCCAGACCGACCGAACTCGAGTGTACTCGAACCGGATCGGAACCGAATGTTTAGAATTACCCCCATTGGATAGTAAATCCATTACTAATATGCCCAAGCCTATCTATAACATTCAAAAGACAAATGCCACCATATCATCGAGAAATCCAACAGTATTGCTAAGATGAATGGAAATTTTTTTGAAAAAAATCTGATTTATTTAATATTTTTTAGAAAAAGATTTGAGTTTTTTGTTATAAAAATACATAAATTAATTTATATTTAAAATTAAAAACACAATCTAATTTTTTTTTTTCCCCTTACGGTACCATATCATCAAACATTGTTGTTAAATATATTTATGAGAAATTCCTGAAAAGACCAAATTCTTTTGTATTAGCCAAAAGAATATCCGAATATTTTTCGTTGCAAAAAAAATATTCAAATTAATTTACCATTAAAATAAAAAGTACGACCTTTTTTTTTTGTTCCGATTCATGCTCTTTTATCGTAATAGTTATAAACATCATTAACCAAATCGTAAACACTGTTACTTTTATCCTTTTCTTTACACGTGATAAATAAAGATAGCCAGAACCGTTCCTAGAGTTATCAAGGCCATAGGTAAAATAGATATCTATAAATTTTTTTTTTTGTTTTAGTATTTTGAAACTAATATAATACGAAAATCTAAGCTAAATAATTTCTAACTAAATTGTGACAAAAAACATGCAACTAATGTTTAATTTATTTATTTTATTTTTTTGCGAGGGTGGAGGAGACAATGTCTCCCCTAATTTATTAAACTAAACAACAAAAATTACATACGAACGTTTCTCGGGTACGAAGCCCCTTCCATATCCTCGAAAAAAATAACACGAACACTTTCCGGAACGGATTCAAACAAATGAAACCCCAGCGGTAGTGTATCAGGAAAGACAGCGGATGAGTATCACAAATCCTGTCCTGAGAAAACCTACCACAATCTCCGAGTCCACCTCTACTTCAAGTCTCGGAACTCCCCTCTCCCATGCAATATATACAAACCATAATAGACTCCCCCAAAGTTCCGCCAACGGAGCGGTGCAAATACCTATATTAAGTGAAAAACCACCACACCATTCTCCCTCCTCATTCCGCAAGGTTCCCCCCGCAACGTATCTTCCAAAAAGTCCCAGCGAAATCGATCATAAGCATTTTCCAGATCAAGCTTCAAAAGCATCCAAATAGACAACAAATTTCAAAGAAAAAAATATGGATCTATATCTATCAAGTGCAAGAAAAAAGAAAAAATTAAGGTGTTTACGATTTGGTTAATTATGTTGATAACTGTTACAACGAAAGGGAGTGAATCAGAACCAAAAAAAAGTTCTGCTTTTTATTTCAACAATAATGTAGTTTGTATATTTTTCTGCCAATGAAAAAAGTTCGGATATTTTCTGGCAAATATAAAATAAGTCGGGCCTTTTTTTAGGAATTTTTCCATAAATGTACTTAACACTGTTTGACGAGTTGGTTAACACTGTTAACGGTCGTTATGGCGAATGGGAGAAATTGGAGAAATAGAATTAGATCGTGTTTCCCAACCTAAATTAGTTTGTGCATTTTTAGACAAATATTAAATAAAATTGGAATTTTCCTTAAGATGAGGAAAAGTTGTTGTCTTTTTCGTTTTCAAATATATTTAGTTAATTATTTAGTTTAAGGTTAAGCCGAATATACCTACGTGTTATATATGTTATGAAAATCATATTTGTTTGATGAATGTATTAATAATTATAAGTATATTTATCAAAATACTTTTGTACAAAGTAAAAGAAAAAAAAGAATTAATATCTAAGAGATAGAAATTAATTTAAAATATATATTTTAATGCGGATTGCATGATTTGTGAAATGCATGTTTTTGTGTGGTAAAATAAGTTGTTTGAGTGTGAGGAGACAATGTGCCAAACAAACGGAGATTAGGACAGAACACAAAGTACATAAGATTCATTTAGAACAGAAACACATACAACTGAAACATTTATTTAAAGCAAAACACAAACTACATAAGATTCAATTAGAACAGAACACAGAGACTGATTCAAGACAACATTCAAGCGTTTGACAACATGTCATTGATAACATGTCCTTCAAAGCCATTTCTATTTCACTAAGTGGCTCTGTTTTTTCAAGGATATTTTCCAACATTTAGAGCTTGCTATGCTTCTCCTTCAGTTCAAAGTCCTCTTTCTTAATCTCCCAAATGCTCTTAAACCTTAACAGAGCATCTGGTTCTTCTTCAACGCCTTTGTTAGTCCTTTTAGCTTTGGCCTCTTCCGCCTTAACACCTGGTGGACGAGTCATTGCTTCATCTCCATGGCTAGCTGCCTGGGAGCTTGATGACTGACCAGTAGCTTCAGCTCCATCCCCTACCTTTCTTCTTTTTGACTTGTCATTCTGTCCAGGTGAAGAAGCAGAACACTATTTATGATCATGGCGAAGCTCTCTCCAACAATGGTCAAGTGTGAACTTGACCCCATAATCACTAGAGTAGATTTGGTGAGCAAGCTTTATTACATCATTTTTCATTCTGTTCGCTTGACTTCTGGCTTGTTGCAGCTGCTAAGGAACCTACAAACTTGCAGACCTGATCATTGACCTTCCTCTACCTTTGTTTGCAATGGTCAGACTCTCTCTTTGGCATCCCAACAAGCGCCGGAGAAGCAGCAAAGTAGTTTGCTATTCTTTTCCAGAAGGTTTTAGTCCTTTGCTCACTGGCCACCACAGGGTCTTTGC